AATATAGCCTTGCGAAGTTTGCAATTTTCAGTCATTTTAGATTACAAACGGGAAATGGTTACCACTTCTGTGCGTAATACAAAATGACTGAAAATTACAAACTTCGCAAGGCTATATTATCCGCATTTTACAACATTTCGCAACGAAACTTTGGAATATTACTACTTTTGTGATGCTCTTTCAAGCTGTGATGAAATTTTTGTTTAGGCTAGTTAAGATCAAAATTTTGGAAAAGTGGTAACCATTTCCCATTTGTAATCTAAAATGACTGAAAATTGCAAATTTCGCAAGGCTATATTATCCGCATTTTACAACATTTCGCAACGAAACTTTGGAATATTACTAATTTTGTGATGCTCTTTCATGCTATGATAGAATTTTGTCTACACTTGTTGAGATCAAAATTTTGATTAATTGGGGAATGGTCCATTATAACTATGTATTATGTATTTGAGTTTCAGTTTATCGAGTTTATAACTCATTGGTGATCGCATTTCCCAACAAGTTATTGCCCGATTGATAGGGGATCCGAGGTATCTACGATTTAAAATCCTTATCCGAGAAGACACGAAAGTCTAACCATTTACTGTTGTCCATGTAAAGGTAGCTCTTTCGCCTCAGTTATTTTAAGACCTTGAGTCAAGGTCCGACCAAGGGCAAGGGTAAAGGTTGAACCCATGAGGTCTCGCAACTTGAAAGGCAAGCGTCTGGCAAATTCTGACTGAAAACAATTTCTAAAGGCAACGCATCGTAATATTGGCAGGATAATTACCATGATTGTTGAGCTCTCTTAAAAGAGACGTCTGAAATTATGTACTAAATACAAGAAAAAACATACTCCGAAGAATAACATCTTGTATAAACTCAAGATATGAGCTATAACACAAGACAACAATTTTGCGGTGATATTTCGACTCTATTTCAAAGTCATTGTCAAACCAGAATCAAACCAAATCATTCTGGTTTCAGTGACAATGACTTTGAAATATATAGAGTCGAAATATCACCGCAAAATTGTTGTCTTGTGTTATAGCTCATATCTTGAGTTTACAAGATGTTATTCTTCGGAGTATGTTTTTTCTTGTATTTTATTAAATTGTCTGCTGGTAATGGGTTTTTATTATGTACTAAGCCCTTCAACTTTTAAAATTTCTTTAAAGTGCACGATATAGCAAAACCTTTCTTTTATTCTCTGCACAAAAAACTACCAAAATAATAAATTATTTGTGGATTACTTTTTCCGTGCTACACCCGATATGTATTGGTGCGTTTAAACTGTGGTTTTAATAAGCTTTACAGAACAACAAATAGTGGTCAACTTCGTCTTATAGTCAAGAACCGCTTAATATACAAACATCAAATTTATAAACTAAATCTCGACTCTGTTTAATAGTACAACTATAAAAATACAAAAAATTAAAATTATTTCATTACTCTGACGAATACTGTTTGATCACCATTTGCTGTACGATAATGCTTAGTGAAATCAGCTAATGAATAATTTCTCTCCACAGGCACAGACAGTACTGTTCGGTTAATAATATATAAAAATTAATACTTTGTGTATTAGGCTAGCATATTTCTACGTTTTGTTATTAGTTTCCTTCGTCTTTATGAAGTACCAAAGGCTGCTTGTTTCTCTTTAAATTGTTGCTTTCTTATTTTGGCGTCTTCAGCCTTTTTTCGATTCTCTTCTTGTTCTGCCCGAATCTCTGCTTCAAACTTGTTTCCTGTAGTTATGATGAAATGAAAAAGTTAATGTACTTGGTCACGGAGATCAATATGGTTGCAACAGCTGTAAAGCCTGACTGGTCCCAATGGTCATAACAAAGTAATGGCCATGGTTACCTGTTAAAAAGCATGTGCTTGGAATACCTCAAGTATTTTTTTTTCTGTTTTGGTGTTGTGTACTCAGGTGAATAGATGTTTGCGATGTTACTCTGAGTGTATATCCACACCGGGCAAGCTTGAAAAATATGCCTGGCCACGGTGGGAATCGAACCTACGACCTTTGGAGTACCAGCCCAAATGCTCTGCCAACTACGCGGTCAGGTCGGTTCGAGTATGTGATATTTCGGAACTGAGTCTAACTAGTTCCAAAGTTTCCAAAGGTCGTAGGTTCGATTCCCATCATGGCCAGGCATATTTTCCAAGCTTGCCCGGTGTGGATATACACTCAGAGTAACATCACAAACATCTCAAGAAATATTTCAAATCTGACTACAGGTATGAGGACTAGACTAGATTTCAAGTCTGAGGTGAAACCGAGGATTGGGTAAAAATGTGAGGACTAGAAATCTACTCCAGTACGAATTGGAGGATTTGAAATGACACCTCACAGAAGTAAATCACTACTTATTAAAGTGAGGTGAATTAATTTTGATCCAGTCCTAGGACTGGATCGATATGCTTAACCAGGTATCAATATCAGTATTATCATATGTGAGCAAAATAAAGCAATATGGTTGGCAACCTCGTTCCCAGGCTGTTCCCTCAACAAGAGGGAAGAGCCTGGGAACGAGGTTGTATGGTTGGCTAATTTACTCGTGAATTATTAATGAGTTTGAGATTATATCTTACCTTGCGCAAGTTCGTTAACTTTTGCTTCAAAGAAATCTTTGGCACCCTTCACCCCGACATCACTGATATCAACTTCTGATAATCTTGCCAGTTCACTGAGACCAGAGCCTTCGATAAGCTCTCCAGCCGCGGCTTTGCGGAATATTAGCAAGAACTAATAATACAATATTAGTCCTGTTATGATTTTGTTAATAAATTGGCTCATGGAAAATTCATGCTTCTTGGTATATGCTAATACACTGGGTATTAGAATGGAGAATTATCTCTTTTCATTAATATGCATTAGCTTCAAATAATTGGTTGTTAGCATATGGACTGTTCTCTCTAAATATAGTGTTGTTAGTTATATGATCAGCATGTTTCTTTTGCGGCACTCATATTCAGCTTGAAAGATTTTGGTTCGATTATTTTATTTTATTCCTCATGCAGACTAGAACTTAAAGTAGCCATTGACTTAGTATTCTCTTTTGCATTTCTACTAAAAAATGTTTAAAAAATGCTTATTGAAGAGTTTGTTGATGGTAATGACCATCATGCAGCTGGGCAGCCACATGAAACATGATTCTGGGAATACAACTTAATTGTCAATGCATTAATTTTGATTATATTTCTTTAACTCTTCCAAAACCAAAAACAATTGTTTGGGGAGCAGAGGCAGAAGACTAAGAAACAAATATTTCCAAGAATGCACACATTTCAATCTTTGCCTCTTGTCACTTTCTAGTGCAGGAAATACCATTCTATTCTAAGGATCATAGAAAACAGATTTACATGAATGATTTACGGCTCTCATAAGAGTCGCAATTTAGAGGCATTTATTATCACTTTTACACTTCGTTATATTGTATTCTAGTGTATAAAGTGAAAATCGGTCTGGATGGCAGGATTTCAGAACCGGCAGTGCAGACCCCTCTATATAAGGGTGAACATCTCGATCAGTACCTCCTAAATATGATTAATCCTTTCAGTTTATTTCTGATGATCAAATAATCAAATCTTCATACCTCTCTGTAGCTGACTTGTCCATCATTGTCTTCATCAATTTCAGCAATCATGTTTTTCAAACCAACATGAGTCTGTGGTGCTTGTAGTTTCTCCATCATCAGTTTCATTTCCATCAAGTCCAAAAATTTATCATTGTTCACATCATATCTAAACATACAGTGAAATAATCAGCCTTGTCCTTATTAATGCCGTATTAAGCTCTTGATTCAATTACCTCTAACTATTAGTATATTTCAGAACTCAGAATACTCATGTAAACTGTAAAGTAATTTCGGCATGAACTTGCCTCAAGATTTGCAACTTTTGCACTGCCAAGATCTCATTGAAAACAGCCTATTAAACACTATGCACAGTTTGGTTTGTGTGCAGTTTACCTGTGAACCTGCATATTTAATGAGCTATATGTTCAGTTACCAGCTGAGAAGAACATAAATTCCAAAGTATATTTAATTTTAACCCAATTTTGAGTGCCAGTGCTCTCCCCTTGACAATTAGTAGTAAAATTGTCTGGTGTTAGACAGAGTAAAATAATAAAGTACTGTGCATATTGGGATATGGCAGATTAACCCTTTGAGCACACAAGTGCTCTCTCCTTGAGGAGTAAAATCACCAGTGGTACAGAGTAAACTAACAATGTAGGTGTGACACACTGGGGTGCAAAGCAACAAAATGGGTTAAGCACACAAGCAATGTATCAACTTAAACATTATTCTTGCAGCATTTCAACACAGGAATAGGATAGTCCACACCATGTATTCTTGGTGAAAAACATGCAAACACTAATTTCTACCACTAGTCAGTAACAGAGAGATTTATTTAATTAATTTAACTTGCTTGCTTCTAAAAGTATCAACATTTACTACCCTATAACCTCACTGAACCATCAATATGCAGGTTGTTTGATTAAAATTTCACCTTGATGCAGACATATTATAGACCTCATTATCTATGTTTTTGTCTCGACTCTTGGTTTATGCAAAATATGGTCAGTTCATCATTCAAGTATTGTTTTTTTGCCCAACCAACCAATAACAAAAACATAGATAACAAAGTCTATTATGTCTGCATCAAGTTTCCTTAAACCTTCAATGGTTTCATGTGCGACGAGTGCTTCCAATTCGAGTATCAAACACGCTAGGTTTCTCCAGGTAAATTCCAGATTCCTCCTGTATTAACACTAGACCAATAAACAGTACAGCTATCGAAGAGAAAAGCCCCCGTCTGAGAGAATTTCTACCAGGA